GACACTAACCGTTTCTCTGTTCTTCTCACTAAAATAACGCTATTATGAGGAGCTCTGTATCCTGCCAGTCATCACATCAGCCCTTGCTCTTAATCTTCCCCAAAAACAGATAATTATTGACTTACTTTCCTACCGTTCAATTTTCCTTTGACAATCCAAAAATAAAGTAAAAATATGATAAGAGATGAAGGCAAAGTTTTGGGTTGATGTGTTCTCAAGATTCTGTAAGAGGCTTCTTGCAGTACCTCTGTACAGGGACTTGTTTCACTTACTGGTTCTCTTGGTAGTTAAGACTTTTTTCTCTGATACATTGGAAGAAACAGTGAGTCTTTAGGCAAGTTGCAGAACGAAACAGCTCCCATGAGAGCACAATGGTTGTTTGGTTGCAATGAGCCATCTTTCACCAATTTACTTCTGATACTAAGAATAAAGTGGAATCCTGAATTTCTTGCATACAAGCTGTTTTGATGGCTTTAATACTTAGAAGCTGCATCATTGTGACATAGGAATTATATAGTGTGATTGTAATGTGAAGCAACATAATGGGCATTGCAGACAGTGCAGTCTCCCAGCAGCAAATGTTTGTAAATCACTACCATATGCTGATTGTAACAGAGCAAATCTTATTTAAAATAATTATCAGACTTTTCACCTTCTTAAAATGAAATTTGGGGTTAGACAGGTTTAATACGGATTTAATATGTTTTGTGTAACAGATGATCAAATAAGGCATAAGAAATTGCTCTTATTAAAAATCCGGAAAAGCCACAATACAACAAAACCATGTCTGCTTTCCAGCTGGAATGTGCCTGTTCCTTATTGACCAAGAAACCAATCAGCCATAAAATGCAAGACAGCTGATGATTTCAAGGCTGTATCTGCATAACAGATTGCGTTGGAGATGTCATATATCATGATTTAGGATGCACAGGAGTCACACAAATAGATGTGGTTTTTCCTCGGATTACAATTACAGTACAGCAGTCTCTGTTACATGCTGGAGTTCATCTGGCACTGAAAGAAGGGAAAAATAAAGGGGAAAAAATGAATCTTGGAGTTAAGGACTTTGAACTGGAAGCCTGGAAATGCAGCCCATGGGCTTCAGCAGATGTACATGACCTTGATGTGGGCCATGTCTGTGTGTGAAGGCTGCAGAGCTGAGAGCAGAGCTGGCTGAAGCACAGCAGCTGGAGCCTTGCAGGTTGCTGAGTAGCTCTGGAGGCAGCAGTGACCTCAAATTGCTGTGGTTAAAACTCATCCTAAACTCCCGTTGCGGCAATGGGATACGTACTGTCTGTGTGCCCAAGTGCGTGGTAGAGCTAATAACTTTCTTGCAGAAGGTGTGTTACTGTAGGATTAAGTCTGTTAATGTTAACAAAGTGTTCTGAGCTTTCTGCCCAGAGAAGCTGTGGCTGCCCCATCCCTGGCAGTGTTCAAGGCCGGGTTGGACACAGGGGCTTGGAGCAACCTGCTCTAGTGGAAGGTGTCCCTGCCCACGGCAGGGGTTGGAGCTGGGTGAGCTTTAAGGTCCATTCAACCCAAACCAGTCTGTGACTCTATGGTTCTCTGATAAAAGGGTTAATATTTATGATAGCTTCAGTACTGCTGTGGCTGGTATTCAAACCTCATAATGAGCTAAAATAACGCATTTTCTTAGCATTGTTCCAGAGATGTATTTTGACAGTCACCAGCCCTTAACCAATGGCTTGAAAAAAGCAATCTTGCCCTTTTTTTTTTGCCCACAGATCTTTTAATATTGCTTGTTGCTGTGCAAAGCCATTGCTTTGATCCAGGCTGACAGAAAGCAAAGTACAACCTTGCTTGTGTTGCTTTGCTCACCCACTATTACTGCCTGTGGGTCTGAGATTAGGTAACACTGGTCCAAGGAATACGTAAAACAAGAGCACGCAGTTACTTTTGAGTGTTTTGGTTTAGTGGCTTCATATACTTTCTTTAAAGGAACAGTGGCAGTGATTTCCTGAACAAGGATGGGCAGGGAGTCTACGAAAGGAACAATAGAGATAAGCAGCAGCAAAAGTGAGTTACAAAGCAGAAGGTGTACAGTGAGCCTGGAGCTGTCAGTCAAGTAACAGAAATGATCTTTCCTTTCTGCATCGAGCATAATGGAAGATAGATTCCATCATCCATTTGATAGTGCCACAATGGGTGTGAGTACAAAACCATAATTTGTAGTATTTGCAACACAGTAAAGCTAAGTAAAAGGGTAATTGCAGGCAAGGAGATTGGGAAGCATTTCCACATTCATACAAAACTCATCCTGCTTTTCTCACAAGCGCAAGGGCAGCATTATCCCAACCTTTAGCAGAGCAGTTTTTTTCTTGATTTAAAATCATATCATGCCTTACAAAGTGTGTGTGACTCCTAATGCTAAGTAGAAATAACTTGCTCCCCTTCTTTAGTAAAATTCAATAGTTTCTTGCCATAGACTTTTTATTTCTAAGAATGCTCAGCTCCAGTCCTGGAAGACAAGGAGAGCCATTAAGCCCCCAAAAACTCACAGGAAACACTCAAAACCTTGCCAAGTGTTTCCTTTCTTTGTTAAATTGCAAAGACCTAAGTGCTACAAGTATTGTTCCTACTGTGTTTTAAGTCAAGTACCAGTCTCTCAACACTCAAAAAGATCCCCCTGTTTGCATTGAAATATATGGAACAATCTGTGGGAGACTGGTGGGATTGCTCATGTGAATAACATGTACGTGCTCCAAACAGTTATTCTTAGTGCTTTCTTAATAACACAGTATTGGAGCTTGATTTGAATGAGTCTCACTGTGATACGAGCGTGCTTTGAATCTCAGTGCTGTAGTGCTGCAGGATACCTGATGTCTGGGTTTGTTAATTATGTGCCAAAGCCCCAGAGGTGATGTGGGGAGTATGTAGCTCACAGGGCTCACAACAGCCAGCAGCAAACCAAGGAACTGCTGAAGAATGTCTCCCGTTCAGTACTAGCAGGAAGGCTCATACCGGATAAAGGGGCTTTATAGTCCGTTCACCATCTTTTTAATTGAAATTTTAACCACTCTTCTATTGAGGACGTGGGTGACCAAAGCGAAGTCACTTCTGTGGAGTTCACAATTACACTGCACTGGGAGCAGCCCCAGTGAGACAAGTTAATCCTACACCCCACATCCTCCTCCCCAGCAGCCGCAGTACTCCACAGCAAGGAGCAAAGCCATTGCACTTACCTAGGGCAGAGCAGCACGAGAGGGGCTCTCATTTACAAAGTGGACCTAGTGAGGTGACATGCCTCAGAGAGAGCAGACGTGGGCTTTGACCCCTGCTGTGTGGATCGGTTTTGGTGCTTGATTTGGTGGCAGTGAACACACAATCTTTAAGCAGTGACTTAGGAAGAGATGGCAGTTTCTTCCATAACAGCACTTCAAATCCTCTTTCTTTGGCTCCATAAGATCTTTCCTGCACAGTGGTGAATCTGCATTATTAATGAAGCACCTGTATCTGACATCATGCACCCAAGTCATCGTTAGTTCTACCCAGGTATGACAGGTCAGGCCTTGGGGTGAGCTGGCACTGAGATAAAGAGGGCTTCAGTCAGGGTCTGGGTTAGAAATCTAACCAAAGCATCCTCCAGAGCATCTCTGGAGCCCATGGCATTGCTTCAAAGATAAGTAAATCCTTCCATTGGTCTGGAAGTGCCTGAAATTCATTGTCTGAAGGATTTCCTATTTGGCAGGGTATTTTAAAAGAGGAAAAACTCTGGAGCTTAAGGTACCCAGTGCTTCTGTGGAAGATCCTGAAGTGCATGTGCTGATTGGCAGACTTTTCTCATGAGTAGTAAGGGCTCTGGGGTTAAGCATTTTATGTTATGGACAAACCTGAGCCTGGATCTTCTGCTTCTAAATTTGTTCTATAGGCACTAGATAAAAGCACACTCACCTGCTCTTTCCCCAGCCTGTCAGCCTCCCATCAGAGCTGGCCTCTTGGCAAGCTTCACGCCTGCTTAGTTTCTAATCTAAAACTTCCTTTAGGCAAGAGAGAGGTGCCAGTGGCTTAATCACAACCACATCACCTCTGGGCATACACAGGAACAAGAATTTTGTCTCCTTAAGTTCTGCAGTGTATCTGCCAAGGTACCATTTCTGCGTGGAAGGAAATGGACACACAATTCCCTTTATGAACCTTGGAAGGATTGTTTCATTTGTAAAGCACGAAAAGGCCCCCTGAATAGAATAGGAAATAAGAGGAGATTGTGGAATACATTCTGTGAACAAATGGGAATACAAACATATCCTAAAATACAAACATCCAATGAAATTCATGGAGTAGATGCCCAGAGATCCAAAATCCATTGCATCCTATACTACTATTATTAGCTGTGCTATCTAACAGTGTGTAAAACTGGCAGGTTAAAACTGAACTGTAGGATCCCACCCCTCCATACAACGAAGAGAAGACCAACCCCTGATGGCACTTCTGGGGGAGCACTAAGTGCTCATGTTGCTTATTCCACTTGGTATTTCTTATTTAACCATGAATTAATTTGGTGTAGCCTTAAAAGGGAAGACTGTGCTCTGGAAGGTGTTTTTCTGAACTGCTCATAAGGAAAGGTTTTGTTCTTAACTATGGCTTACCATTGATGATTGTTTTATGGGAAAGATTTAATGATACCATCATAATACTTTTAACCTGATACTGCTCATTAAAAAATTGAAATGTTGAAGCATTCCAAACCGTATTTACCACCTGTTGATAGGGACAACCCTTCAGCTGGTGGCTGATGTACCTAACTCTCCATGTCTGTTTACCATTGCAGGAGCACGGAAGTCATGAGTACTGTCTCAGGTACACGAAGTACAACAATCACTTTTACTGTCCGACCTGGAACCAGCCAGCCGATCACACTGCAGAGCAGGTCCCCAGACTATGACAGTAGGACCTCAGGAGCAAGGCATGCTCCAAGCCCTGTGGTTTCACCAACAGAGATCAATAAAGACATCATGCCTGCTCCTCTGACTGCTTCTGCTTCAGCTTCATCTCCTTCTCCAACTTTGTCCGATGTATTTAGCCTACCCAGCCAGCCCCCTTCAGGGGACTTATTTGGCTTGACCACAGGGCGCAGCAGGTCTCCTTCTCCCTCAATATTACAACAGCCAATCTCAAATAAGCCTTTTACAACTAAGCCTGTCCACCTGTGGACTAAACCAGATGTGGCAGATTGGTTGGAAAGTCTAAACTTAGGTGAACATAAAGAAACATTTATGGACAATGAAATAGATGGCACTCATTTACCAAATCTACAAAAGGAAGATCTGATAGACCTTGGAGTGACTAGAGTTGGGCACAGAATGAACATAGAAAGAGCTTTGAAACAGCTGCTGGACAGATAAGAATAGCTATTTTGCCTCACAAACTTCTGTTGATAACTAGAGATGGGCTGGTACTGAAATACCCCAAATGCCTTGTCTGTCTGCGAGTGCCAGCAAAATTGGGGGGGAGGGGGAAAAAGTTCAATTCCTGGTACTCAGGTAATGCAGACTGTGTGCTACATGCCCAAGCAGAAATTAAATGTTTTACGTGAGTGGGGCCAATTTCTTTCAAAGTTGTGGGGAGATACGAGAGAGAGAGAGAGAGAAAATTGTTAACTTCAAAAATCCTATCTCTTGACATTGCCCTTCTGCTGGAACCGTTACCTGCCGCTTTTCTTTCAACTTAGAATTGCAAGCAGTTCGTTTTTGTATTGAAAAGCACTATATTCTCTTCTTGACAGTCTCCGAGCAGGCTTCCTTCCCCAGCCCTTAGTTCATTTTAAGAGGACAGGTTGCTTCATTGCCATTCAAACCCGTTTTTATCGGTAGCGGAGTCACAATATTAAGACGGGTGCAGGAGTTCATATTGCTGTTTTTTCACTAGTTAAGCTTTCTGACTTGTTGGCAGTGAAGCTGGTTGTTCTGCTGGAATTAGTTCAAAGGTAACCTTGCTCTGTTTTACTTGGTATTTCTTTATTTCTGCAGTTACACATAGCACTCTTCCAAGGTGGCAGAACAAGTTCAATACGCGCTCCATTGACTTGACCTGTAAGACGATGCAGACGTTGCGTAAAAACCAAGGAGGAATGCACACTTAGAGGTACAACAAAATGAAGCTAGTTTGAACCTGAGACCCCCAGTTTTCAACCAGCTAAACTACTGCTAAGTTGCAATATGAACTCTGCAAGCCAGTAAAAATTCAGGGTTTGGTACGGACGCGTCTTTTGGACCTCACAGTCAGATACTCAGATACGCCGACCCCTGAGAGATGCTGGTTAATTCAGTGAGTGGTAAGTGCTTAGTTAGTTTGAACATCAGGCCAAGAAAGAAGAAAAAGATAGATGAATGTCCCCATTGAAGTCAGTGGGAAGGTTGCCAGTTTTAAGTAAAGAGAAGGATTTCAGCCTGTGAGCAGAAATGGGAACATTTCAAGTCCTTAGAAAAAAAAAGGTAAGAAGGTGATGCCAGGATGGAGGAGCTGTAGCGAGTATCTCGGCATGTGCGTGTTCCAAGGGCCAGGAGAATTGGGTAGGCATCCAACTTCTCAGTTTTATCACTGTTAACACGTATTGGCTTCTTGGCAAGGAGAGCAGGCTGAGCACCTCGGGGGCTCCAGCCATTTCTTTGCACGGCTGTTGGTGCAGTTGCAGGATTGATGCGCGCACCCTGTGGCCCAGCGTGGACTGGGGTGGTGGGGAAACGGAGCTCGAGGGCTTTCCAGGAGACTTCAGTCAGCAGGGGAGAAACACACAGATTTGGTTAAAAGTCTGACTTTTTATTTCCTTTTTTTTTTTAAAGTTAACAAATCTCTCTCTGCATGTTTGAACTCCCCTTGTAATTTACACCTCTTCATAGCTGTGAGTTTTGTAGGTCTTTACTAACATAATACTCAAGACATTCAAGGTGGGTAAATTGTGTGTGGACAGCTAGACTGCCTACCTACCGTCCTTCCAGGTTCTCTTACACTTTGGAAGGTACCTGAACTTTCTTTCCTTGCTATGGTCCTTGATATGGTCCAGCCTATCTCTAATTTTTTTATTGTGATTATTTTTGCTCACAAACAAGTGTCTAATTAGGTCTGCAACAGCCCTAGTATGAGTACATAAAGTTTAGCATTTTAAATATCTTTCTTTACTGCAAGTTTAAATAGTTGTACAGATAGTTTATAAGCACAATATTTTAAGAAAATAAGTGGCTGGTCTACTGGCAGCCTTTGTGCCACTTCAGTGCTAGGAAGTTAAAAACAAAAAAAACATAAAAAGACAAAAAAAAAACCTAAAAAAAATAAAACTTTTGTGGTTTACTACTATTTCTGTGGAATAATGATAAAGTCTTGACCTTTTTAAAAATCAACCTCATTTGGATGCATCTGAACCAGCAGAGCTATGTTATATTTTCTATCTTTGCTAGAACTTCTACAAAGGAGGATGAATCTTTCTTCAAAAGTGGTTATAGTTACCAACTCATTGGATACTCATAAAATACAACTTACGTAGCCTCCTGCCCCCTTTACGGAACAACAAAGATCTTTTGACTTAAGACCTGTTACTATGTTTGTATTTGAAAGCTCCAAGTAACCTTGTAATAAAACCCAAGTGCTGAGGCATTTTCCTTTGAGGAGTACTGAGTTTTTCCGTAGGCGGTGTAGAAATCGGCAGTCATCCAGATAGGCGATACAGGCAACTCGAGGCCATCAAACCCTTTCTAAGAGGTGTAAAAATGGTGATTGAGCCATCCTTGTCTTCCATTTGGTGATACGACAGAATTCAGTAAATAAACCACTAATGCCATGCTCTCTTCTTTTTTTCGTTTCTTTGGGTACAGTTGATCTTACCTCTGTAACACGTGCCAGAAAACGCATTAGGAAATACGGTAGAAAAAGCAAACGTAGAAGTTGACTTTTAAGCTGCTTTTTAATCACAACCTTCTTGTTGAATTTACGTTGAACACGTGCTGACATACACGGTAAATTACAGGTGACAGTAATCCCTTTCTTACACAGGTGTGTTTCTTGCTCGTGGATCTTTTCAGGTACTGAAAGAGTAGGTACAATATACCATTAGTAGAAAAGAGGTTTAAAGAGCTAATGAAATAGTTTATTTTTTACCTTGTGTCTTACAAAGTAAAGGTGAGGAGACCTGGGCGGACCTACTTTCCCCACTAAAATACCCCTCTGCCAAGAGGAATCGGTCTCTAGCTCTGTGCGAGGATCTTGCTACAGAAAGCAATAGTAACAGATACGACGTTGCCTCCGAGTATTTTCACCAGTCTGGAAATGTTGGGGGGGAGGAGAGAAGACCCATTTCTTTCATGCTACTATGATAGTGAAAACCAAGTTGTTAGAGATCTCTGAAATACGTTCTGATATTCTGGGTTTTAGGATCAACTTTTGTTTATATACTGTAATTTAAATAAATTGCATTTACATGCCTAGTTTCTGTAATATTTGTGTATACAATACCAAAACCTTACAAGATGTAAATTGTGTATAACTGCACAGACTCCTTGCCCTGGGTGTCTGAAAACATTTTAAGTTGAATTCATATATTATAAAATGACTAGATGTGACTGTTGATTTACAGAATTTACATATCACAAAGTTAATTATTTGTGGGACTTAAGTTAATAAAAATAGTGCTTTTTTTCCTCCGTTCTTAACGAGCATTACCCAGTTGATCTGGCGATGATTATGTGTATGAGCCACAAATATTGATGATTTTTTTCCATTACATTTTTTCTTTTCTTTTCTAGATATTACTATGTTTCTCGCTATAGTTTGTGTAACAACTTGTGTTCACGTTCTCTATGTTGCTGTAATTTTTGTGCTTTAATTCCTCTGATTTCGACTGATTAAACAAATCAAGCTCCTGTAACTTGCACTTTTCCCCAATCCTTAATACTCTTGTATGGCAACCAAAATTACTGTAAGAAATAAATATAATATTGCACTAAGGTTGTGGTTCTGATTGCAAACAGAGAACACTGTCTGGATTTTCATTAAAAAAAGACAAAGAAGTTGCCAAACCCCTTGCAATCTGTTGTTGAAAGCGCATAAAATGCTTTAACAAAATGTAGATAAAGGTGAAATAATTGATCTATTTCCTTTTTATTTCTTCTCTTTTTTTGGTTAAAGCATTCTTTATGCCAAACACTAATTCATTTCCTGAATGTCTGATTCATGTTTTGATACTGGAAAAGTAAAACTTTTCAGCAAGAGGGAGAAAACTCCGTATCTATTTGCCTTAAGGTGGATTTCAAGTGATGGATGAGTAGTCTCTTCCCTGAGCACGTGTGTGGGAAGGCGCGCTCTGCCCCACGTGCTGCTGGTGGTCTCAGGACGCTGGGGCTGACTCTGCTCTGCAATTCCATATGGCACTGAAAGGTTTGGGAGGGAGTATTGGGGAGGTTTTGTAGGGCAGAGCAGCTCCATGGAGAAAAGGATCTGGTCAGTGCTCCTTGTGTGTCTTGTGACTGGAAAAATGTACCGGCGGGGTTTGTTTGTACTGTGAATAAACAAGGCTCAAAATGGGAAAACCAAGGGAACCATTCACATCTTTTGGCTTAATCTAAACATTTGTTTTTCTATTTTCAAATGGTGATGCAATGAAGAATATTTTTTATTTTCCTTTTCTAAGATATTGGAATAAATGCCTAGAACTGTTGCCATTTGGTTTCATATGTTCCTTAACTACTATTTTCTTCTCAGATGTTGCTCTAGTTCATCATTTTTGTAGTTACCTGTTACTTCTCTCGTATTTTTCCAACAACAAGTCATCTGGCAGCTTTGTTTCGTTCAAAAAGATAGAAGAAAAACCAGCCTTCTTCATTTCAGGTATTGTGGCAATCCAGTGATAAACCTCTGTGTATCTAACTGAAGTCAGGTATTTGGGGGTGCTGAGGCGCTGGCACAGGGTGCCCAGAGAAGCTGTGGCTGCCCCATCCCTGGCAGTGTTCAAGGCCAGGTTGGACACAGGGGCTTGGAGCAACCTGCTCTAGTGTGAGGTGTCCCTGCCCGTGGCAGGGGGTTGGAACTGTGTGAGTTTTAAGGTCCCTTCCAACCCAAACCAGTCTGTGATTCTATGATTTACGCTGCAGAACTAAGAACACTTCCCAATTGTCAATCTTTGTTGGTCAAAAAAATGAGCTTTGATCATTGCTGTTGTGGTGTGTGTTGTATCCATGTGTTGTGGGGCATTTTGTTCTTGGTTTTCTGTATTTTCCTGCATTTTGTGGTCTGTCTTTCATTCCTTTTGTGCAATACCATGAAACCCTCCAGCAGCTACTCTGGGCTGTGCAGAATAAGTCGGTTATAACAGTACTGCAGGAAATGGGGGTCTAAAAATTGTACGTGCCTTAGTTTTCAACCCAGATCAACTACGTTGTACTTACCATGAAGAGCTTTATCTTCAGGGTCTTACAGTACCTGCCAAAAAGGAGCTGCTTGTGCTGCAAAGTTCATATTGCAGCAGTAGGAAAACTGGTTAGAAAAACAGATGATTTCCATCTCATTCTGAAGCATTTTCAGCATTATGAGACTGGTTTGAAG